GTCAGAACCCAGGAAATTCCTCTGACTGCCCTGGAGGACTTGAGCCTCTGTCAGGGCGGCTCAGAGACCTTGGCACAGAGCCCAAGAGCCCTGTGCCTTTGATTTAGCCCTTGGAAAAAACAATTACCAACCTTTATATGAAGAATTACAAGTCAAGAGAGTTTAAGCAGAATGATAGTGAATTTTTCACAGAGTGAAAAATAGATTTTTGAGGTTTTTAGAATGGGGGATTGGGGTCCCAAGATGGAGGAGTTTGGGCGTGCCTTGTCCTTTTTCCTTCTTCTTCTTGGCCTCCATCTTCTGAGTGATGTTGGCACTTTTAGATTGGTTTAGAGTAGAAGCTCACTGTCTAACATAGGTGATAGGTATTGGGAAGTTATGGTAAATAATGTGCATGTAGTTTTTAGTATAAAAGGATAACACTGCACTGAGGGCAGTCAGTTTGCCTCAACCCGACCTGCTAGACAGACCTGTGGCAAGCTGGAGAAAGAGTTTTATAGATAAGAAACAATAAACAACCTTGAGAAGGAGAACAGAAAAGTCCTGACTCCTCCTTTGACTGCTGGGCTGGGAAAAAGAAGCTTGTACATATCGCAGTCACTCTGATCAGCAGAGAATCCGAGAGGCTCCTCCTGGGGTGAAACCAGAGTGAGGGGCAGCACACAGGGCACACTCAGGTGCTGTGAAATCCATGGAATGTCTCTGCAGGATGGTCCTGGGGTCAGCTTTCATCTGCTCCTCACAAGAAGCTGAGCTGAGGTGCAGCTGGTGAGGGTCTGGCCTGTCTGTAGATGTGCAGGATGGTCTGCAGGCTCTGCAGGGCTGAGCACGTTTCTCATCTGCATTTCTTGACAGTAAACAGAAGTGACTTACTGAGCTAATTAGAGTGGGATGGATTAATTCAATGTGACTGAATGCCACATGGCACAGGTCGCCTGTCACTGACAGGGGATGGGATAAGGAAGGGATCTGAGGCGTTCTTGCACTAACTCAAGGGAGGCTGTTTTGGCAGTGACCACACAGTGACCCTCCTCTCCCCTTCATCAGCAAAGGCACAAGAAAGGAGAAACACCTGCCACTCCTTGTCCTTCACGTGCTCAGTAGTTTGCAGGAGGTGCAGGTTCAATTTCTTACTTTCTCTCTTGACAAATACTCTTGACAAAATGTCTCATCTCAAAGGCCTATCAAGCAGGAGGAAAACAAAGGGGTTGTTGTCTCCTTCATTCCTCCTTTCCCTTTATTACTTAGGACTAGTAAAGAGTTTATTGCTCATGGTCCCAGCACGGTCTGGACATTTCAGTTGTGGAGCAGTGATGAGAGAAGATGTGGAGAGGCCAGGGCTCCTCTCTGACAAGTGCTTTCATCATTAGGAGTGTTGTCAGGCTCATCCTTCTGGCACTTCTGCACCAGAATCATAGAGTTGCTTGAGTTGGAAGGACCCTTAAAGATCATTCAGCTGATTTCTTTTAAGAGGTGTTCCTTCTGCATGAAGAGATGTGTTTGCAAATGTAACACCAAGCTCCTTGAAAGCCATGAGGAGAGAAATCCAAATCAAGAGAGATACCCAAAATTTACATGTTGGTTGCTTGAAAATACCATGGGCTGTCAAAAGAGTCCTGAGGGCCTGAGTCATCCCTGCCAGGAGTAAACGAGGAGAAGGGTGCTGGGCTGAAAATCAGCAAGGGAGAAGCACAAGAGCAGGAGCCAGTGATGAAAACTGAAGGGAGGGCTAGAAAGAAAGTTCTCAACATCTCCCTGAGAGTGGTTCAGACAGGAGGAATTCCACTGGCTTCAGGGAAGGCTGCTGTACATCCGTGTCAGTGGGGAGCCTCTGGCTGTGTGAGCAGCATCCAGAGCAGCCAGGAAGGCTGACCAGGATGTAACCTGTGTGAGTTGGTGTCTGGAGGTCAGGAGGAACACAGGCTGCCTTGTGCTGTGCGTCATCTTTTGGGCTCTCTACAAACCACCTCCTCAGCAGACGCAAACACTCCGAAGGAGATGCAAACTTTCCAAATTCTCTTCTGCTTGTGGTTATCTCCCCGCTGTGGCGTGATGGGGAAGGAGCAGGGAGGCTGCAGGGAGCTGTGATTGATGGCTGTTTGCTGGGAGTGCTCCTCTGCTGTGAAACATCTCTGTGCCCCAGTTATTTTTGATTTCTCCTTGCAGATACACAGTTTGGGACTCCTAATAGAGTACAGTCACTGCCTGGGAGCAGCTGATAAAGTACTCATGCTGGGTTAAGATTTTCCAGAAAAGAGATAACTTTAGCAGATGGCTTGGGCTGAGTCCTTTGGCTTCAGCTTTTTTATTGATAGATAAAAACAGTACACACAACCAAGCTATGGAAAGCTATAAAAAGTGTCCTTCCTTACCCTGCTTTTTAACAGTTCCTGTGGTGATAGTTTCTCTCCTTCTCTCTTGTGTGACTACAATAGACACCAGTCGTGCTCTTCAGCCTTCCTTGTACCCTTTCTGTACTGAGCAGCTCTTTTATCTCCATCATCCTCTGAAAAGATCAAGGCAGCCCTTCCAGACACAGGTTTTCAATCTTTTTTTTCCTCCCACACAGCTCTCTTTTCCAGTGGATTCATGCAGCCACGTAATGGTTTCCAAAGAATCCATTCTAAATTTCCAATATTTAACATCAGATTTTCTGGTCTTGGAAACAGGAGGCTGTTGCCAGCCGCAAGTTTAGGGGCTGATTGCACAAGCAGACTGAGGAGCCATTCTGCAGGACAATAACTCTTGTGAGCCAAGCAGTGGTGAGCAGCTGGCAGGTGGAGAGGAATAACAGGATGATCCTTCCCACTTCACTGCCATAAGCACAAGAGATCTGGAGAGGAGGAGAATCCCACATTTAAGGACAGTCTGTATATGAGATGCCCAGATTGCACTTCCTTTCTGGTCAAGGGTCCACTGTAGCCATGGATTAAGGGTATAACTTATCCTGAATTTTTTGTTTGAATAGGACAGAACAGCTGTGTTCCAAAAGCTGCTTTATTTCCCACTGGCTATAAAAGAAACCTAACTAAACTTTAGACTTTTTGATGGAACTGAATCTGGCCAAACATAATAAGATGCTTTACATTAAAGGTGAAGTTCCACCTTAGGCACAACCACTATAATTTGATTAATGTCCTGGTAAAGGGCAAGATCACCAGGAAGGCCTAGCTGTGGGGGAATTGCAGCCCTTTTTAATCTGGTTTTAGTACTCAAACCCATAAACTTTCACTCAGAGGTAAATTGGCCAGATATCATAATTCCACAGCAGCCCATCCCAACCCAACCTTTTCCTCCCTTCCCCTCAGCTGATCAACTGTTGGCCTTTGCAAAGTGATAATCAAAGACCACACAGAGATAACAGCTCATAATTGTCAGGGAAGAGCTTTGCCATCTCCAGGGAGCTCCTGGTGTGTTCTTGTATAGGAACCAAACCAGCAAAGTGCTCTGGAAGGTGTTTGACCCCCCCCAGCATCTGGTGAGAACTTGAAGCACATGTGAAGTGTTGCTTTTGGAAAGTCACTGATTTTTGAAGACTGAAATTTTGGATGGTTTGTTGCAGTTTTTCCCCCCCAAGCAGCTGAGCATTATCATGACTGCTCTGGGAAAACAAGGAAAGTTTTCAAACCTCTAATGAGCATCTGATGAATTTTGAATAATCCCAAGGCAGCTATGCCAAAAATGTGCAGGTGGATACTGAGTTGGGTCTTTCTACAGTGTTGACTTTGAATAAACTGGGCATTTTAATGGTGAGATGGATGTTTAAAGGCAATTTTCTCCTATTCAGCTAAACTTTGGGGGTATTTCATACTCATGCACTGTTTTTTTAACAAAGCTTCAGCTCAGGTTGCTCCAAGCCCCATCTAACAGGGCCTTGAATACTTCAGGCATGGGGCATCCACAACTCAGGGCAACCTGTGCCAGTGTTGTATAAAGTGGCCCATGAAAGACAAAAGGAGGCTGTGGGTGCTGCTGGGAGCTCACCTGATTTCAGCCCAGTTTGAGGGCTCTGATTGCTCTCAAGAGCATTTTTAGGGCTGTCTCTTGTTACTTGCATTTGTTTAATAAAAGTCTTGTCATGCACTGCTCCTTCTGGATTGCCTTGTTTGTGCACTTAGCAAGATTGGAGCAACTTCAGGGTTCATTTCCACCAGCTGAAGGGCAGAGATGGAGGTGGGGAAGGATGATCTTGAAAAGAGTGTTTTGATTTCTTACACCAAGGAGGATAAATTCTGCCCTTGACAGAGGTCAGGATGGAGTATGGGTGACACCAGACTGCTGTGAAACTTTGGTCTTTGCCTCCTTCATTTGCACTACCGTGACTGAGAGGAATGGATGGGATCTTAAATTTTACCTTCTCACTACTTTTGCAACCTAAAGAAGGACAGTTTGTTCCTTATCCTCCTCTTATTGAAGTCACCTCTTATTTTGTCCAGAGGGACTGTGGACTTCTCATTCCTGGAATTGTTCAGGGCCAGCTGGATGGGGCTTGGAGCAACCTGGTCTTGTGGAAGGCATCTCTGTCCATTTCAGGGGTTGGTCTTTAAGGTCCCTTCCAACCCAAAGCATTCAGTGCTTTTAGGATTTTCCTGTGGGGTGATGCTCACAGGGAGGCACAGCTCTACCCTCCCTGTTCTCAGGGGGAATGAGTCAAGGGATGCTCAAGTCAGGGATGCTCCAAGGACTTGGAACCAAACTCTTGGCCGTGATTTGTGGCTCATAAAGGGGACATCACAGCATGGCACCTATGGCATATTCTGTGTCTTTATTAAATAAAGAACATAGGGAAAGAGATTTTCTTTTTAATATTTCTTGCTCTTTCTAGCCCTTTTGAGTTGAGTTTTCTTTAGTACCAAAGCTTGGGGAAGGGGGAGGAGAGGAAGGGAACCTCCAGAGGCTTCATGAAAAGGAGAAAGAGTCATTTTTTTAATATCCCTCACCAAGGAGAGATAAGGCTGAGTGAACCCCTGCTGACAGCAGGCTCTGCTTTCTTTCCACAGTCTCCATTGAAGATATCCGGGATGTGAGGTCAGGCCATAAAACAGAAGGGATGGAAAAGTACGCCAAGGATGTCCCAGAGTATCGCTGCTTTTCCATCATCTTCAAAGACCAGAGGAAAAACCTGGACCTCATTGCGAGCTCAGAGGATGATGCCAACCACTGGATTGCTGGCCTTGGGAAAATCATAGCCCACAGCAACTCCATGAACCAGAAACAGAAACTCCAACAGTATCCTTTGCCTTATAAAGTGATTAATCATGGACAAAGATGCACTTGTCTTTCCATGTGGGTGGGGATAGTAGACTAACCTTTTTTCCCTATTCTGGTTTTTCTCTTGCATTGATTTTGCACCCAGGCAAGCTCCCTGGTTTCCAGTGCTTTTCCCCCCTGTTTTACAATGATACCAGCAAGAGTGGAGTCAGGCTTAATGTGGCTCCTTAAGCGAAGAATTCCCTCTTTCATGGAGCTCCAGATAAAACAATCATTATTTTTTTGTGTTCTTCAGGGGTCTGTTTCACTTGCAATGCAGTAGACTCCAGGACAGGCACTTCTTGGCAAGGCATGAAAAGCCCTCACTGTTTACCGTGTTTCTCAGTAATACAAGGAGAGGGAACTGATTCTCCTCACTGCCAAATTTACTCCGGGGTAGCTCCACTGACTTGAGTGAAATTACTCCTTATTAGCCTCAGCATGGGAGGAAGTTTTGCCCTGAAAAAATCTGCAGTTGCTCTAGTGACAATGCAGAGAGCAGAAAGGAAAAGGCACAGAGCAGGAAAGGAGAGTGAATTCATTATAAAATGGAGAGAGGGTGGTTATTGGGTGAAATCCTGGCTCTGTTGAATTCACAGGGAATTCTCCCTGAGGCTGCATTTCACTCAATAAGTTGCTTTGCAAGCAGAGGTCTCATGTATAAAGAGAGGATATCTGTGGGTGGAATTTTTGGGTGGATTTTCTTCAGTCCCTGTGGAGACTCTGACCATGACATCTGAACCTGTTGGCTGATTTCACCCTGATTTGATAGAGATACAGTAATTGTAAAATATTAGGTTCCTTTAAGCTTCCCAAAGGGAGATATTCAGCTATCAGAGAGGAAAACAGATACCACTCTTGGGGAGAGAAAGCTGCTTGGGCTTCATGGCTTGTTTGACACCAAACATCAGAGAGGAGGGGAGATGCAAAATCCTCAGCTGGGAAAAATCACAAAGCTGGAGCTCAAGTCTGAGAAGGCACCAGGAATGTTGCCCTCAGTTAAGTCTTCACTCCATGTGGGTTCTCTGCTGGGTAATAATGCACTGATGAAGAGGGAGATGGTGCATAAATGCTGAGCTTTCATCAGGCTTTACTCTTCTCTGGATTCTCTGAAGCCTGAGAAGCATTTTCACAGCCACAGTGCTGTTCACTTAAAGGAATCAGACTCCATTAGTTCTGATGTGCCTGGGATGTCCTGTTTATCTCCTGCATTATGAGTGTCTTTTGTTTGGATGGTTTTTCAAGCTCTGGGCTGTAAGGTCACTCCTCAGCCACCCCACAGTGTGCAGGGGAAAATCTGGGCTACAGAAAGTTGTCCCTGGAGCATATCAAGTTAAACATATTGCTGAAAAACTTGCCTGTAAGAAGAGACAAGATTTTTTAAGGGGGGGGAAATAACAATGACATTTGCAAAGGAAGAAAGCTGTAAATTTCCAGCATGGAAAAGTGCCTTTCTGTCTTTGGAAAGCAGAATTGAAGCTAAATAGGGTGGGTAGGCAAACCATATTTCTGGAAGAGTAATTACTGTGCAGTGCTGGCTTCCAATCTGGGCTTGTCTCAGGCCATTTAACGTAACCTGGAATTACAGAACAGCATGATTTCTCATTTGAAATTTGATGATGTTTAATTAAAGCGTGGGATTTTAAATTTAGTCTGCTTTCACTGGGTTTGCTTGGCAGCGTGGGCTTGCTCAGATCTTCCTTAAACCTCAGGAGTGTTCTCAGCATCTGTGAGCACAGAGGGGAAGAGTCAGGGCATGAGATGTGTGGTGTCCCCTGCCTGTCCCCCATTACTGGAGAGTTGCCCTGCAGGGTATCTTTTTCAGCCTCCCAAACCCTTGCAAAACAAGTAAGGAATGTGCAAGTTTTTAAAAACAAGGATTGAAAGCAAAAAACTCTGCTAGTTTCAGATGGGGCTCGTTCAGTTTGGAATTCAGTGGAGTTGCCTGTGATAGAAGGGGCTGGGATCAGTGTCTTATGTATTTTTCCAGTCCTATATTCCTACACAGATAAAACTCCCACGTGCTTGATGAGCATGTCTGATGTTCTTATACACAGAGCTCTGTTCTAATAAGCCTCAGATTCAACCTTGCAGCAGGCTGGCATGGGTAGTTTAGCAAATATTGCAGGTATGTGTGCAGGGAAGGCTTCAGACCAGAAAACACAGAGGACTTTTCATTTGAGCAGGGTGGCACTGTCTGCTTCGGTTGTGGGGTTTATGTGTGAGCTTTTCTTCTGGTTTGAAAGCAATTACCAGAAGTTCTGCAGCATTTCTGTTCTGAGCACACTCATGGGATATCTGCCAGATAGAAACCAGAGAGGGATGACTGAAACTGAGAGAAAGCTGGTAGCCCTGGAGCTGGCACAGCCTTTAAGAACCAGAGGCTCTCCCTGGATGCACAAAAATGGGAGAAGCTTTCCCACAGAAATGGGAGCAGCTGCTGCCCCACAGAGGGGCACAGGGTGAAAAGAATGACCACAGCCAGGGCTGGAAAATGGTGTTTGTATCAGAAGAGAGGACTTCCAGTTGAAGTGTTTTGTTCATCCAGCTCCTCCAAGCTCTCCCAAAGCTGAGGGGGTGCAGATGCACGGGGAGCTTGGGTGTTTTGGGGGCAGAATGCTGCTGTTTACTGAGATTTCAGTTGTCTGCGCTCTCCTTTTTCTCTCTTTGCTGCTTGCCCTTGCAGCAAGAGGACCCACTGTGTGTGCCTGGGCTTTTCCTGGGCTCTCTTATTTCCCTCCTGCATTTCTCAGCCTCCTGGAAAGGCATCTAAGAGAAAAACATCCTGCATAAACAGGTAGGACCTGGGCATACTCTCTTGCAGATGCATTCACTGCCCACATTTTGCCTACCAGAGAGGACTTTGAGTACATGCATGACCTCTGGGTGCCCATTATCAGAGGAAATGATGCAGACTCTTAAAGAAATGTGGGGTTTTTTTGCAGTGGTCAGCACAAAACCAGTAATTTCTATGCTCAAAAGAGTAGTTTCTATACACCCCTCCTGCTCACCTCTGGCTGTGGCAGGCTGGATTTCCTCATGTTCACCAGAGATGGGTTTTCCTCCTGCCTGTTGTTTTTAGGGAGGGTTGGGAAGAGGACCAGAGGTGCAGGGTCAGGTGTGACATTCTGACAGTCTCGTGTCAGTGTGACAGACCCTGTCTGGAGAAGAGCTGGTGGAAGGATGTCTCAATTTGGAAAGACAGGAGTCTGCCAAGGAAGGCAGGAGCCTCCCCTGAAATGGAGAATGTAAACCCCACCCCCACCCCTCAAAAATGCTATAAATTTTAAATTAAGGGGCTCTCAGGCAAAAAATATGGGAGCAGGAAATAAGAGTTCTTTAATAGGGAAAAGAAAAAAAAATAAAAGCATAAAATAAGCAATGCAGTACACTAGAACAACACTGACAGAGTCAGAACCCAACCTGACACCCTGTGGGTCAGGGTGTTGGTGGCAGTCCCATTGGAATTGTGGCTGCAGCCCTCCTGCAGTGTCAGGGGTGGTTCTGCTGGAGCAGGGATCCTGTAGAGAAGGATGGATTCTTCCTCTAAAGATCCAGTGGAAGAAGAGGCAGCTGCTGTTCCTCTGGGGAATCCAGTGCAGAAGCCGTGCTGGTGTCTCAAAACCTCTGGATTATATCCGGGTAGGAATGCTTGGCTCCTCCCTCTGGGCTCACATCTCCCAATGGGATGCTGTAGTTCTTATCAGCCATGCAGTGACATTCAATAGCTGTTATCAGCAGATGTCCCCTCCCTAGGGAGGAGTGAATGTGGTCACTCAGAGAGAGATAAGGCAAACTGCCCACTTGACAAAGGTAATCTGCCATACATAATTGAAAACATCTTGCATTGCAATCTTCAACAAGGGGTTGTTCTGCACCCCAGGGTGGGTGTGGTGAGCTCCCAGCACAGCATCCTCTGCTCATGGCAGCTTCATGACTCAAACTGGGTTTTCTGGGGAGAATCAGACCCTGGTTCAGGGCTCTGGAGTGTCCTTGGGAAATGCAGCCTCTCTTTATTTTTGGTTTCCATGTCTAAAGAAGAGGAATATTAATATTACCAGGCTGAGACGGATGTGGGGTGAGGTCATTGCTTAGCACCTGCCAAGATTTTTAAAGTCAGAAAGTTCAAGTTTCCATGAGACAAACAATGCTCACTAACAGTTTACAGATATCTCCATCACTAGGAAATACTTCAGTGCAGGGTAGCTCTGGCAAACACTGTTTCAGGGTTATGTTTACAGCCCCTAAGGCTGTTAATGCCCTTTTCTGGGGTCATTTTGAAAGGCCCAGTTTAAATGTTACAGCACTATATGCCTCAACTGGTTTGGCTGATCCTGAGCTTTACTCTGATTAGCATTCAGATTGGGCATTTTTTTGGAAGTTTTTCTGGAATTTGGAAGCATTGTTTCCTATGTGAGACATGGAAGGTTATTATTGGAGATCAAATTCTTACTTTGATCATTATTTTTCCTGTTGAAAAGCAGATCTTTTTCTGGATGACCTTTCTTATTTGACAGTAAAACAGATTAGACAGACAGTTCCATGATGCAAAAAGCAGGAATTTTTTTTTGGTGTTTAAAACTGCAGTGTGTCTCAACTGTCTGACATGATTTTAGAGACTGAAAGAAAATAGAAATCTCAGTTCAAAATATCTGACATCACAATAAGAAGATCATTCTTATAGCAGTTACTCCTGATCCAGATACACTAAAGTGATTAAAACCCAAGCTGTTATGAAATATTATCACAGTGCAGCACAGTGACAGACCCTGTGCATTTCAGCTGGGGAAGAAGACAAGACCCACAAAGTTTGGTTGGATTCCACTCACAACAAATTCGTAGGAGATACAGGTAGAAATCCCTAAAAATATGCTGAAGGTGAGTTCAAAAATTATTATTGATCATTCTTTTGGAGTTCAGTGTTCACCATGACACACCAAATATTGAGCAAATCCATGACAATGAGTTTACCAAGCTTCTCTTGGGAGCTCTTTTCCTTCTTTCCTTTATCCCCTTTTTAACCGTCTGGAGCAGAATGTACTTTCTGTCATAAAAGAGAAATCAAACTGTTTCTGGCTGTGGCCAGGAACTCCTACAGGGTAAAGAGAGCTGCTCCAGCCTTGGCCAGATGGTGAAAAGCTTCTCCCAGGTCACCATCAGTTGTATCCCATCACATTTTCCTCCTGCCAAGGCTCCATTGTGCTCTGTGGGAACAGGAGGTGAGGTGGTGGCAGCTGCTCAGGGTGATTTACAGCAGCTGGACAGGTGGCTCAGAGCCTTTAAAGAGGATTTCCCCCCTGCCATGTGCAGCAGAAGGTGTTTGGGTGTTCAGGCTAGGCAGTGACCTGGACAGGTTTCCTTACATCCCCCTGCAGCTGGATTCACACCTGCCTGCGCAAAGCTGACAAAAACAAGGACAACAAGATGAGCCTGAAGGAGCTCAAAGACTTCCTGAAAGAAGTGAACATTGAAGTGGATGACTACCATGCCAAGAAGATTTTCCAGGTAATGGGAGCAAGCAGAAACAGGGTTTGCTCATTGGTGAGGTCAGGGTGTCCCACAGCTTTCACCTCAATGTGAACTCCTGGCTTCTTTCCTTGTACCAAGGAAGGACTCTCAGATTTTGGTGCTCAGTAATTTATTGCCCAGAATAATTGATTCCCACTGAGTTAGGCCAGCCAATGCTTTTGATGAGGATGTGTTAAGATCTTTCTTCATAATCAATGTCAAATTTTGCCACAAAGCAGAAAATGAGATGCAAACATGAATAGTGCAAGAAAAAGGGAAACAAAGTTGAAGTCCCAAAGGTCTTAGGAGTCTTGTGTGTCACAGCTGCATGTCAGTGCTTAAGTCTGGCTGAATTTTGTTTGGTTACAATTGTGAACCCAGATCCCCACCTTCTCAGAGGAGAGGGCTGCAAAATGTCGGGTATAAACAAACAAACAAACAAAAAATACAGTACAAATTAGGAAAAAAAACTTTCCAGATTCATGATAGATACACAACATTGCACCCAAGCCTGGACTAGTCTGATTGATTTAATACTCCCAAGGCACATTTAATCTGGTCAGGGATGTACACTTCTAAATTCGCAAGATTCAGCTTATTGGCTGAGCCTATCAAAAGATAAGAAAGGGATGAAAATTTCTCAGTTGTTAAGCTTTGGGTTTCTCTCTAGAGAATCCATCCTGCTGAGGTGAGATAAAAACATCTGGATAATTTCCAAACTTCCATCCTGTCTGAAGCAGGATTTGAATTAATGTGTGTGCAGTTTCAGAAATGTTTTTTTCTGATCAGTGGTAAACATGTGGGTGGTTTTGGGCAGGAGTTCTCCTGCTCCTCCATGTGGGCAGGCAGCCTTCCCCAAAGGAGGTCCAAATTTCCTTGTCTTTGCTTTTTAGACATCTCTCTACTCTTCAGGAATCAGGGGGAAGGTCATCAGCAGATCTTAAAGAATTTCAGCTCACAAAATATTCCAGTTGTCCTGTCTGCTCTGGCTGGTGGATCCCATCCTTTATTCCCAGGGAGGTCCTGGAAGAGTGGAAATAAGGCTGGGAATCCCCTGGTTGAGCTGCATGTGTCCACTGGAAGGAGTTGCCAACACTTCCTTTGCAGTCTGTGCAGGTGAAGCCAGTGGGGAGCAGGGTGTGAATCTCCTCACCCCAAAGGATACATCTCACATATAGGAGATGAAAAATTCCCACATCTTCACACATCAACAACCTGAAAAAAAGCAAAAATCACCCTTTTTTTCAAATAATTTCCCTTTTTTTTATTTTAGAGGCACAGTCTCCTCTTATTCAATGAACCTCTTCTGCTGTCCCAATAGTTACAATGGAGGTCCAGGAGAGGAAACTTGATGAAATTAATCCTTTTTGCTTAAAGACTTCAAGTAATTGCTAAACCTTGATTCAACCCATGGAAATGCAGGGAGTTAGTTGGAGTACCATCATTAAGCAAGTAATTTTAAAGTTTCCTGTATAGCCCCTGGAAAGAGAGGCTCTTTGGAGGTTAATTCAGATCTCCTGAGGGCTGATTTGCCTCCAGGAAGGGTCTGTCCTGCTCTTAAAGCAATTACATTTTCAATTTGCATCCTGCCTCAGCCTAGATGGACCAGGGCATTACAGCCCATTAAAGGGTGATCTTTTCTGTCTCACAGAGTTTTTCTTCATTTAGTCACAGGAAGGAAGGGTGAGCAGGGGCTCAAGTGGGGGCTGCAGGGCATGTTCTCACATTATTTTTGCCTTTCCTCTCATGACTCTGTGTCCACATCCAGGTTTGGGACACTGGAGTAGAACATATTGCAATGCAACCAGAAATGATGCAAAGCTCCTGCCATTGCTCACTTCATTTTAACCTGAATATTCATTCTGATGCATCAGAAAGGTGTTTTTGCTGCCAGGCCAAGGGTCATGCAGGACTCATGGCTTGTGATGCATACATGGGAGGTAAAACACAGTATTTTGGGTTGAGATTCTCTAATTTGGACCTCTTGTGGCCAAAACAGAAGGAACCCACTTTTATACTGAGCATCTGATGTGTCCTGGAGTTTGACTCTGGTGCTGTTGCTCTGTTTTCATCACAGCCTTTAATGGCAACTAATGAATAAACTTCCCCAGGCACACACCACTTAAAATGCCAGTTTTCTAGGAGGAATATCTTGTCATTTTCCCTGTCATATCTTAAAGAAAAGAACATTTGTAATTCACAACATCCCTGCTGTCTCCACCAGCTGCTTTCCCTCTTTATATTCCTTTTGCAGTTGCTAAGCATCATGTTCAGCTCAGCTTGGGGGATCTGCCAGAGCCACAGAGCAGGATCACAGGCATGGGAGGCAGTGAGGAAAAGGCAGTTCTTGAACTCTCAAACCTATTTTGGAGGTGTTTGTAGTACTGAGCATGTCACAGGTTGTCCCATCCCTGAGATGAGCCTGTAGCTTCTGCCCAGCAGGTTCTGAAGTCAGGACAAGTTGAACTCTGTTTTTCTGTCGCTTCAATTTGTGAAATGCTAGGCATCATGATAATGTTCTTTGGCTTTATATGTGCTCCTTAAACAGATAGTGAAAGATTTGCAGGGGATGAAAGTCCCTCCTTATCATCTTGGGACACTGCCAAAGCCACTGTGGCCATTGCTGAGATCACTGGCAGGACTAGGCTGAGATTAGTGTGATTACTGGTTAAACTGAGACAGGCATTTTCTTCATAAAAGCCAGGAAAATAGCTCTGTCACAGGGGATCAAAGATGGAAAGCAATTAAATTCCTCTGGTTTGACAAGCTGAAGAATTCTGCTAGGAACAAACAACAAAATTAATATCGGGATCTGCCACAGGAAAAAAAAAAAAAAAAGTTGTTTCTGATGAAAAATGGAACCTGGGAGTATTTAAAATAAACTAGAACAGCTTGTTATTGGAAAAGCTGTGTCCTTGATGGAGACATTAACAAGTCTATCTCAAGCTCCCCATCTTTCATGGTCAATCAAGTCCTTGGCTGTGGTGCTCTGTCACAGATGGTATCTACTGGAAAAGTTCAAACCCCAGAGGAAGATGGAGAACCTGAATTACAGTTCCTTGTGAGAAGATTATATCTGATTTGAAATCTGTGCGGATTTTGTTACCTGGCAGCTTTTGGATGAGAATGGAAAATTTCCATGGATAGGTAGATTTTTTCATACCTAAACATGTACATGTGGGGGTTTTAAGTTTGTTTTTGATGCCATCTTTGCAAACAGTCCTACTGTGAGTCTTGACAGCCTCTTGAGGTCTGAGCCACTAAGGTCAAAGGAAGGGTTCTTTTCACTTGATTTCCTGGG